AATTTGCATACTAGGCTTTTATTATAAAGTATTATTATTATTATTATTATTATTATTATTTATTTCACCACACAGACACCGTGGGTATTTTTAGTGGCTGGGGCAGGGATTTCTTAGAATAAACCAAAAATGGTTTCAAATTATGACTTGGCTTTGTACATGGCTTGACCAAAGGAAGAGAATGCACTACTCAACCACTTTTAAGTATTTCTATTCTTTGTGGCAGAGATTACTCATCTAAATTGGTAAGATGCTATTCTAGCATCTATCTCACAGTGCATTCTAATTTAGCTTGCATCTCTCTCATAGATCTTGGTTGAGGAAAGAGAGATAAAGAGAGATAGAGAGAGAGAGAGAGAGAGGTTTATTGTTCCACTTATTTATTCATTCACTAGTTGTTTCTTATATGTGCTCTGACTGAGGATCGAAGCCACAACCTTGGCATATCAGAATGATGCTCTAACCAACTGAGCTACGGGGCCAGGACCCTGTCTCACAGATCTTGATTACCTCTAGACACTGACAAGAGTGAATATTTTCTCTGAAGCTGGAGGAAGAAAACCTGTAAGAAGGAAAAGTGGGAAGGAGAAATTGTGCGGGAGAGATGTGTGACAAGGGCCTTTATTTTAGTAGCAAAGGAGTTGATGAGAGATGGTGAGGTACAGTCTTGACCTCAGTAAAGTAGGCAGTCAGACTGGCCATGGTGAATGCAAAGGAGGTAGGCATGATTAGGGGCTGAAAACTATCGGAAAAGGCCTTTAAGTAATGTCATGGAGGACTCAATGTGAACAAAAGGATTGCCAAGAGGCAGTTAGACACATGATAGTTAGGTGCTCAGTACTTGTTTGTTGGCAAAATAGCATCTACATAATTCCCATTTACTTTTGCAGGATATAGAAAAAAGAATAGGTAGTGAACACTTTTTTGGTTAATTAGTTTAATTTTTGCTTAATTAGCACCCTGTTTTCTGAATTTACAATGTGGTCATGTTAGTGCAATGAGCCCTTTTTCTCCTGGCACCGTCTGATTGGTTGGTCAAGGTAACTATGTGACTCAACTCAGCCAAGTTTTCAGGCTGTAGGTGCTCAGTCTCGGCTCTGAGGCAAGCCAGGCCACGAAAACTTCTCTTCCAGGAACTCTGGAACCAGAACTGAGAAAGAGAAGCTACACGGTGTCTCTTATTGTGTCTGGACTGCAAGATGTAATAGCCCAGGAGGCAGTGGAGGAGCAGAGGAAACCGCCTGTGGAGGGAGAAGGGTGAAAGCCGATATCAGTTGGAGAAGAGGGTCCCAGAAATTCTGGAACACTAATTCTAGTTGTCCCTGAGGCCTCGTTCCTATGCCTGGATTCTGAGAAACGTCCCAATATCCTTATGGTACATTCCGCATTTCAGTTGAACAGATTCAAGTTGACTTTCTGTCATTTACAACCAAGAGTCCCAAATAATTCAGAATGACAACGTGAATGAATGAGTAAATGACACCATCTCCACCCTCAGAGGTCTGGATCCCAGTGTCTGGAGGTGTTCCAACTAGTTTCAGGGGTGAACGAGACTCTTAAACTGGTCTACCCAGAACATGTAAAAGCAAACTCCTTTCATCTTAAGAGGGAAAGAATCCTCACCCACCAACTGAGGCAACTGGAGAAACTGGTCTATCGACTCATTCCATCTTAAGGAACTTTCTGGTAGCCCCTATGAAGTAAAAGAAAGAAAATGTGCCTTTGGAGACAGGAGATACCACAAGAAAATAAAAGAGCCTGAACCACTTCATCGGTATGATCTGCATTCCTTTTTACTTATTTATTTTTTTGAAGTGGGTGGTGAGGAGGGTAGAACTGTCTTAGGTTGGAAATGCCTTACTATGTAGACACAATCCCAAGTGGCAGTTCTTCAGCCATAGCTAAACTAGCCTATTTGTGCCTAATCACAATTCACGTACTCAAGAATCTATCTGGCCGAAACCGGTTTGGCTCAGTGGATAGAGCGTCGGCCTGCGGACTGAAAGGTCCCAGGTTCGATTCCGGTCGAGGGCATGTACCTGGGTTGCGGGCACATCCCCAGTAGGAGATGTGCAGGAGGCAGCTGATCGATGTATCTCTCTCATCGATGTTTCTAACTCTCTATCTCTCTCCCTTCCTCTCTGTGAAAAATCAATAAAATATATTAAAAAAAAAAAGAATCTATCTGAAATATGTAAGGATTTGAGATATTGTATAGAAATGAGCGTCAGCAACAACACCTGATAATGATGTTACCATTTAGAATCTTTAAAATCTTCAGGAGATGCCCTGGCCGGCGTGCACAGTGGTTAGAGCATTGGCTCCCGCACCAAAGGGTCTCGGGGTTGAATCCCAGTCAAGGGCACTTATCTGGGTTGCAGGTTCAATCCACACCCTGGTTGGGGTATGTACAAGAGGCAACCAATCAATGTGTCGCTCTCATATCAGTGTTTCTCTCTCTCTTCCACTCCCCCTCTCCCTTCCAATCTCTCTAAGAATCAATGGAAAAAATATCCTCGGGTAAGGATTAACCAAAAAATAAAATCTTCAGGAGGAAGCTCACTCCAGCTTGCTCTCCTCTAAGGAGGGTTGTGTGCTCAGATTGAGGGCATTTTTTAAATGCTTTGGATCAAAGGGATTTTAACCAGAGTTTTCAAAGGTTAAATGCAGTTTCTTGGGTAGCTTACTCGGAAACTAACAGTTCTTCCCAAAATGCCCAGCTTTTGTTGTGATTGGAGTTCTTCCAGAAAGGGATATATGTTTTGAGTTATGTTGATAATAAAAGAGATCAACGAAACAACATAAATCCTTTATTTTAAAAAATAATTGTTTAATAAGTAAATAGTTAAATCTTCACTATTCAAGCTGCCTTTCTTTGACAGGAAAGTGACCATTTAAGAACAGATTTGATTTTAGTCTCCATTTAAAAACCCTTTTATCTGGTTGTCTTTCTGGCAGTTCTCCTAAGTGTGGGGCGGGAGTGGCTGGTTTATTTCTTCCCCTTCATTCCCATCTGCACCTCTCTTCTCACTGCCTCCTCTCATTGCCAAAAAAAGCAAACGTGTGAATCTTCTCACCTGTAAACTTCCAGTTGCAGGTGGAAGTACCTAAGTTAAATTGATTTTACCTTTTGCCTACCTCTTTAGGAACACAGAGAAGAACTATGCTCTCCTAATTTTAAGCATACAATACATGCTTGATACAGAAAACGTTTTAAAAGCAGGAACGTATAAAAAAGATGGGCAATAACCACCCAATTTCCATTACCCAAAGATGAATACTGTTTTGGAGTATTTCTACACAGGCCTTTTCTTTCTTTCTTTCTTTCTTTCTTTCTTTCTTTCTTTCTTTCTTTCTTTCTTTCTTTCTTTCTTTTTCTTTCTTTCTTTCTTACCTTTATGCTTATTGGGTGTCTTAGTTTATATATTTTTCATCATGGTTGTGATTGCTTTTCTTCCAAGTACAATAAATACACAAGCATCTCTCCGTTTTAATGCAAATCTCATAAACATGTTTTATATGTAAAGGGTGTCCCAAAATTCACGCAAGAAGTAATTTTGATAGAAATCATAGGTTTATAATTAAAAATTGTAATTTTTTATTGATTCATAAGGTATACAGTATAGGGTTATGTATGGAATAGCATATCGGGTAAATGGCCTCCACGGCTTTGCTGGCACATATACACTCTTTTGTTGAAATTTTACATGACCGTTTTGCATAAATGTAGCTGAATTTCGATGTCAACAAAAAATGTACAATTTTTAATTATAAACCTGTGTTTTCTATCAAAATTACTTCTTGCGTGAATTTTGGGACACCCTTTATAATACTTCATCTAAGGGGTGGGATCATGATATACTTAACCGTTCCTTATTTCTAGATATTTAAAAAGCCTTACCTGTATCATCTCAGCAATGTTATGCACGAGTTCGCCAAAGCACGAATGGCCAGGCAGGACTGTCAGCCACAAGATCTTCGATGGTCGCTCTGCTCACCCATCAGAAGCTAAGGGGGACGTCTATAATGATGAACTGCCACTGTCCAGAGCATGAGGAGTGAGATGCCGGAAGGGGCAGTGAAGGAGGGCCAGAGGACACGTTCTAAAAAGACAAGTATAACTTCCAATAATAAGGCAAAGCCCCACAAAACACTTGCTCAGGAAAGTCACTTCCTATGTACCAGCAGTGCATACAGACATCTCAACAAACAATCCTGGCCCAAAGATGTAAGTGCACAGATAATCTAGAAATGAACCAGTTCAGTCAGCACTGGGGAGGTGGGGGTTAAGTGCCTGGGAGGGCTCCACAGAGCTGGAGCTGCTGACCTGTGTCTTGACAGATGAGGAGGACTTCACTGGATAGACCAAGGAGAAAACAAAGGTAGGCAGAGGGAATAGCATGTGCAGGGTCTACAACAGCAAGGTGTGTTCAAGGACACTCAACCCGGGCACTGAAATGAGAGAGAATGGGGTGAGCTGGGAAGAATGGCTGGGGTAGGACCTGAATGCCGTGTGTTGTACGACAGAGAATTTTTCTGGTCCTGGTCCCTGGTTCTTCAGAGGGAAACACCAAATCTTTGGAATTTCCCGAGTGATTCTTTATTACTTATGGTGGGTCCCTGACCACACCTGAGTTTATGCTAACAATACGACTCAGGATGTGGACTCCCCACGGACCATGTGATTAGAAGGTTGGGGTTTTGAGCCAGCTGACCGCTAGGCAGTGGACGGGGGCTGGAGATGGAGTTCAATCATGCCACATAATGAAACTCCCATAAAACTCGAGACACCAAGGCCCCAGTGAGCTTCCTGCTTGGTGAGTGCATGAGTGTGCGGGAGGGCGGTGCGTCCTGATTCTACGGGGAAAGTGCACAGAAGCCCAACATCCAGGACACGCCCCGACCTCGCCCTATGTGTCTCTTCATGTGGCTGGTCCTGATGTGTAACCCTTTCTCATTAAACTATCACTGTGAGTATACCACTTTCCTGAGAGTTCTGTTTATCAAATGTTCTAGCAAAGGATCATGCCTTAGGTAACTGACCAAATTTGTAGCCAGTTGGTCAGAAGTGTGGGTAGCCTGGGGATCTCTGAACTTGTGCCTGGCATCTGAACTGAGAGCAGTCTTATGGGGGACCGTGCCCTTAACCTATGAGTCTGTGCCAACTCCAGGTGATCTGCAGAGGAGTCACATAGCAATTATTGCACCATTCTAAGGTGTTGGGATCTTACTTTGAAGGAATTTAAATACGGGAATATCAACTATTAGAAAAATCACTCTATGGAAGTATAAAGAATGGGTTGGACAGGAAGGAATATGAAGGGGGGGGTGTCACAGACTGCCGAAGATCAGGCAGAAACAATAAACTGGCCGACAGACAGCATCAGGAGTGAAGACGAATTGCCATCATCTCGGAAAGAAGTGTGCGAAGGGGCAGATCAAAGAGCAGCCTCCCCATGGGTTGGTTCTGCCAGGGTGTGTCCAGCCTGTGGTGGAAGGAAGGCAGCAGTTTATTGGAAACATCGCCTTCAATGATCCAAAAGCTAAAAGATTTATATCTTCTATAAAAAGAACTAACAAGATACATTTTCCTTTTGAGTCTGTGGGAAGAGTTTAAAGATGTTGAATAATACAGCATATTATTGTGTGCTCACCCCTGTCCCCAATTTAGCACATATTAACATTTTCTTCTTTTTCCTTAATTTATTCTATTTGTGCTTATTTGTTTCTTATTATAAATCAATGGTTCTCACTGGGGGTTGGGGGAGTGGCAATTTTCCTCTCCAGGGACATTTGGCAATGTCTGGAAATATCTTCAGTTGTCATAACTGGGGAGTGGCACCGAAGCTAGTGGACAGAGGCCAGGGATGCTCTACAATGTACAGGACAGCCCAAGAAAGAATCATCTGGCCCCAAATGTCAAGAGTGCCGAACCTGAAAAACCCTGATTTAAAAGAAATAAATTATAGAAAAAATGGAAATCCCTGTGTACCACTGAGAAAGGGAGAGGAGATTCAACTCTCCTCCCTTTACTCTCCTTTATTCACTGTGATAGAAAATAAGATCAGGAAAAGCCATTTTCAGAAATAAGATTAGATAGAGGCTAGGCTTGTTTCAGCCCCGACCAAAATATAATGTAACACACACTCCCTCCTTCATTCAGTCCCTTTAGACACGGCCACTGGGAGTCCATCCTGCAAGATCTTCTACAGAATATAGTATGAGTTTAACATCTGTTGGAATAGAGTCACCAAAGGTAGGCTTATTAAACAAAGATGACCTAGTTCAAATCATAGTTTTATAAACAACTTATAAGAATTTTAGGTTAATTAACCCAAGAATTTGAGATACTGACATGATGCTTCAATGCAAGAAAAAAAATTAATCAACTGAAATAAGTGAAAGTTACTGAAACAGATGGGAAAAAAAGCTTATTTTTTTTATTTAAAAAAAGAACACTAATATTTTTCAACTACATGCTAAGTACTATCCTCTACCTGGTGATAAAATATCATCTCAGGTGAGGGAAACATCATTTAAGATGCCTTCAAGGATCTCATAATCCAGAATGAGAAGCGCACACATTAGCAGATAATGTTCATGAGATGATGTGGTGGGACCATGGAAGAGAAATTTTTTCAATATAATTGCAGCAGCAATGAAATAAAAGACTCAACTGGTAATAGCAACACTCTTTTCATCACACCCGAACTATGGTTTATAACCATGCAATAAGAGCTGAGAATGCCATTTAAATAGTCAAGTAAACTTGCCCTACCAGATTTAAAATATATTGCTGTAATAGTCCACAGTAATTTGAATGGCATGGAATTAGTTTAAAACAAGGTAGACATAATAGCACAGAATACGGAGTACAGAAACAGAATGTACTCCATCATACGTATGGCATTTCAAATCAGTGAAGAGATAATGATCTCAAAATAAATTTTAATTCAGAGGAAAAAATGTTATTATAGCCCCAGCTCTCCTTAATACCAAATAAATTCTAGTTGGGTCAAAGATTAAATATTTTAAAAACATATGCAAAAACAAAAAATATATAGGTATTTTTTACATCTTGAGGCAAATAAGATCTTTCTAAACATGACACCAAAGCTAGGAATTCTGAAAAGAAAATGTTGATAGATTTTACTAAATTAAGATTTTTTTTAAACTTCCAAACTATGAAAAAAACCTGTCAAAAACAAATATAAAAAGTGAAGCAACAAAAAAATGTTTAAAAACTATGTCATCTGAATTAATACCTGAAAACATATAAACATCTCTTATAAATAAGAAAAATATGACTCTCCCCAATAAAAATGGGAACATGAAATGAAAATGCAATTCACAAACCAAGATATGCAAATAATGTGGAAAAATATTGTTCTTTTTAATAGTCAAGGAAATGCAAATTTCATCACAATAAATGATAGTGAAAATTTAAAAGACTGAAAATTCCAGTATGTGCAGAAGACATAAATACACTGAGAGTGGGAAAATAACTGGGTAGAAACCTACTGGATGGGAATTTGGTAATATGTGTAAGAAAGTCAAAGGAGAAAATAATAAAGGCAGGTAGAGGGGGGAAGGAGACGATACAGGGAATACTTTTGAACTAACGTGTCCTTTTCTAGGAATTTACCTCAAATATGCCTCTGTTGTGTTTATAATGGTGTGTGAGTCTGCTATGGATGCCATAACTAAAAAACACAAATTATGATTTAAACAACAGACACTTATTTCTTGGAGGCTAGAAGTCCAAGATCAAGGTGTTGGCAGGGCTAGTTTCTGGTGAGACCTCTTCCTGGCTTGCAGTCAACCAGGTCTTTTCCCTGTGTCCTCACATAGCCTTTGCTCTGGTGTCTCTCCTCTTCATATAAAGATGCCAATCATATTGGATTAAGGCCTCACCCTTATGACCTCATTGAACCTTACAGTCACACTGAGGTCTTCAACATATGAATTCTGGAGGAACATAATTCAGTCCATAACAAACAGTGAAAATTAAAAACAACCTAAAGTTCTATACAGTAAAATGTTATGCAGCCTTAAACTGGAATTGGTTTAAGTGATGAAATCACCCTGGCCAGTGTGGCGTTAGTTGGTTGGGCATTGTCCCATGCATCAAAAGGTGGCTGGTTCGATTCCTGGTCAGGGCACATACCCAGGTTGCTGGCTTACTGCCCAGTAGTGGGTGTGGAGGCATCAATACCTATCAATGTTTCTCTCTCCCTCTGCTTTCCTCTCTTTAAAATCAATAAAAAACGCATTTTTTTAAAAAGTGATGAAACCGATTTATACTTATTAATATGGAAGCTGCTATGATATGACATGTTTCTTAAAGGTTTTAAAACAATAGACTTAGTATGAACACACTTGTGGGGAAAAAAATATTATATGTATATTTGAAAAATAAAGTTTATGCATCCCAAAGTAAACAAGGTAACATCTAGGCAATGGAGTTGTGGAAAATATATGCATTTAAATTTATATTATAGTGCATAATATATAATGAATATTCTTACCTTTATAATAAAGGAGAAAGAAGTTATTTACAAAAGGACAGTTTAGTCCCAAATTTATTTCTTCCAGGATTATTTAAATAAAGTTCAATTTCTGATTACTAATTTTGCATAAATAATTGCAAACTATGAGCCAAAGTGGCTCTACAAGGTGCACCAGCAAAGAGGCCACCGTCATGAGGCAGATTATAAGCTTGAGTGCAAGTGATTCATTTGGGGGGAAATTATGAACTTAAATATTAACTAATAGAATTGATGGGTGTGCTTAGTGGACACTTGGCAATCATTTTATTAATTTGATCATGTTAGCCTGTCAAACTAGATAATTTAAGCCAAAAGGCCCTATTAGACAAATACAGAATAATATACTAACAAATTTCAGACACAATTCATTCTCTTTTTAGCAGCTCAGAATCCAGTGCTCAACTTCAACATCAACCACACGGAATTCTGGGGGTAAATCCACTTTACAACTAGGAAAAAACCAACACAATAGTCTATGTTTGTTTAGCTCCTGATTGGTTTACCAACTAATCCAGTCCTCAGAGTGACAACTTTTTCCTTTTAGTGAAAAATCATCTCAGTTTGCTCCTTATTTTGAGTTAGATTTTGTATTTAAAAAATAAAAATTCAGCCCTGGCAGGTAGCTCAGCTGATTAGAGCGTTGTCCCCATACACCAAGGTTGCGGGTTTGATCCCTGGTCAGGGCACATACAAGAAGCAACCAATGAATGCATAAATAAAAGTGTGTCTCTCTCTCTCTCTCGCTCTCTCTCTCTCTCTCTCTCTCTCATCAATAAATAAAAAAAATTATTTAAAAATTTAAAAATAGTTTAAACCTAAATTCAAGTCAGGTCCTTCAAATTTGAAGAGCTCAGCAATGAAATGTCTGGTGACAGTGGTGACAGTCATTCAGACTAAGCAACACTCCCAGTTTGGTTTGCCATTCTGCATCATTAGTGATGCCTGTGTTGTAGGCAGAATTCCGTAACACAGCTTGATTTGCCTAAACTCGAGAAACACCTCTTTCCATGTTAGATGGGAAGGTGGCATCAAGGGTGGAATTCATTTCCTGATTTGTCACTATCTTCAGAAGTTTGGCTCACTGATTCATCAGAACAAGTGAAGGCATGATGTCTTCCAACCTCTCTTGAGCTGATCAGGCAGCTGATGGCAACCTTGCAGGGTCCTTCAGCATATGGGTTGCATAATCTATGGGGGATTCTGCAGAATATGTTGATAATGACTTCCTCTGACATTCCAGTTAATTATCACTATTGATTCTTTAATACTTAAAAAATACATGATGCTTAATTTGTTCATGAATCAGTGGTTTAATAAATGCCAGTGTATATATTAAATTATGTTAATGTTTAATATCTTTTATGAGCAGTCAAGAGTACATTAAAAATTAAAATAAAATTAATTCCCACTTTCCCATTCTTACACTGTAGGTAATGTTATTTTACACTGTACAAATTGATGTTCGGTATTTGTAATTAATGAACTTTGTGATTTGTTTACTGCCTGGGGTGTTATTCATTACTTTTTCAATTACTGTAAAACTTTATACATCACAACATGAGACCCTAAGCAATCAGATAAGCAGTGCTAGGGAGTTTTTCCTTTTAAATGGGATCATGTAATAAAGGCAGAAGACTAAATTAACATCTCTAATATGCCAGCCAGAGACACTGGGTTTCTCATCGGTGGGCTTGCGAAGAACCTTCCAGAAGTGAACCTTTCAGAACCAGGATGCTCAGGAGAACCTGGTCTCCTGCCCTTGAGCAACTGAAAAGTCACAGTTTTGTCACCCACAGCACTCAAAAGCAAGATTCCCTCGGACCCAGTGTAATGGCTAGAGGCAGCTGAGATTTTGAAAGTACTGCCATGTCATATCAGCCTACAAACTTTTAGAACTGCCAGGCCCTAAATGTGTCCATGTGTTTGATTTCTTTTCATATTTCTTTTAGTAAGCATGGACAAGATTCCCAGCACTGCCCTGGGCTCTAAGGGCTGAGGGAACATACAGAGATGACACCCCGCCCCCGCCAGGGTTTTTTTGTTTGTTTGTTTGTTTGATCTCTTGGAAACCCTGTGTCATTCCCAGGAGGGGCACCCCATGTAGAACATCACCCCTGCTGGAAAACTCACAGGGAGGAAAGGAAGTGTTAGAAGGGGCCTCACTGAGCTGCTCCCACAATCACAGGAGAGGGAGAAGAGCAGTGGAGAGTGAGGAGAAGCCTTTGGCAAGGTGACAGAAGCAGCACATGGACTCAGTGGGAGTCCAGGTTGCACACCAGCGAGCCAGCTGGAGGAGGTAAATACACAACCAGGAGGGCCCAGGCTTCCTCCAGCAGCTCAGCCCACTCTGCCTGCTGACCCTCAATGTGCCAATAGGAGGGGGAGCTTATCACTTGGTACCGAGGGATCACTATTCAATGGCAACAATGAAGGCAGGAAGCAAAGACCTCTCACCTCCATAAAAAATAGACCTAATGACAAGTTGCTGCATTACTAATGTCCCAGAGGCTGGGGAGCCTGTTGGCTACTGGGGCTGGGACCAGGCCACACAAAACACCAGAAGAAAGCTGGTGGGAGCTGTGTAACTAATGAGCGCGTATTGGTCCTTAGCAGTTATACAAAATGCCCATCGCACAAGGAAACATCAAACTCTATTGTAGGCATTTTATTTCTGTATCAAACATATAACAGAATCTCCGTTTTCTAGAATTTTCCTAATTAGTCTGTTCTGGCATATCTTAGCCATTCTGTGCTCACCCCTTTGGTCATCCTGGATTGGAACAGGTCCGCCCAGTGCCATGGCCTCCTCAGTCACAGGGATGGTCCCAGTTCACTCGTCTGTCGTACAAGCATCTCTCTGGGCTGAGCCCTCACTTCACATCCCCCAACCTGCTCCTTGCTTATAGCCTTTCTGAGACCCTTGGACCTCCGATGGCTTCTCTGGGCCTTAACCCTTCTTCCTGTTTCCTCCTTAATTTAAACCCATTCCGTTTATGAGGCCTGTACAGACCCCTCTAGGAGACCTTACCCAGGACGGGTCTCCACAAGCCAGCCCAGTCCCTCCAGCTGAGCTGACCAAGGCAGTCGTGGATAATTTGCTTTTTGGAGCCAAGGGAAAAAAAAAATCTTCTTTTGCTTCAATACTTCCAAAGACCCCCTGGTTCTTCCTGGATGGTGAGGGAAGGTGTGGACCTCAGGGTCTTCATTCCAAACATCCGTGAAGGCTCCAGAGTTGTGGTTCACCCCAAAATATGGCTCCTCAGATAACAGGACCAGACACTGGACTCCTTGGCTTGAGTCACCTCTCTCGTCATTTGATGTTTTCTGATAAGGGACAATACTATAAAATTAAACAAGCAATAGTGTTCCAGTAGTTGCAAGTTCTGGGGAGTGGAGTTCTTTTAGGCCGGTTATATGTATCTATAAAAGGTCCCCAAAGCTATATAGCCCCTGGGAAGTAAAGGTGACTTAGGGCCTCTGAAACTGCCACAATTATTTTGTTAAATAAATCATGGTCGCCGAAACCGGTTTGGCTCAGTGGATAGAGCGTCGGCCTGCGGACTGAAAGGTCC